TTAATTTTCAATTATTATTATTAAATACATATCGCAGTCCCCGACGAACACTATGGTAATCGCTATTACGATAGAATCGGGTTTATTAGATATTCGTTATCTACACACCCTATTACAATCATTGATTTTTTTTTATGATCGGGCGATGAATACTTTTGGATTTATCCATTCAATAATGATCTTTATGTTTTTGTTCAACGTATAACATAAGTGAAAAATTTACACGATCAATGACGCAAAAACCTATTACCAAATCTCAAAAGTCAACATTTTAGAGTAAGCGGCTATTACCATATTGTTCGAGGGAAAAATGACAGAATCAGAATCAGAATTTATACATAAGTACCGAAATGGTTATAACACCTAAAAATGGTCATCGAATAAACATGTAATTTATGTTTACCGTAATATTAAAGTCAGTTATATCATCGAATACGATTGCAATGTGATTTTACGAATATAAAGTATATTCATATTTACCATGGAACAATATCATAATGAACGATTACTACAGCAACACCGATTTGTGATTACAGTCGAACACTATCGTAAAGTTAGTTTGCGTTAATTTTTTCCATAGCTTATTTCAGTAATGGACATTTTCACAATTTTCTTACTGATAAAGAAAATTTATGATAAAAATTTAGTAAAAATCTAGTGCAAAAAAATATTTCCTTATTTTTGATAAAAGAATCTTCTTTTTAGTCTTGATAGTATTCAAGATATTCAGTTTTTATTTGCTCCTGTAAAATTGTTATTTTCCTATTACGATTTTGTTCGTCGGGGACTGCGATATAAGCTTAGGTAAATACATACATACGAAAATAGATTCCAATAATAATATTAGATGACAATCATCTGGAAGTTGATTCTGCCAGTTGATTTACAAAATACTATTTTACTTTTGTTTTAAAAGAAAAAGTGATCTATCGCCTCTGTCTACCGCAGCCAGAGATGAGGTGTGAGTGTTTGTATGTTTGTGTGAGTGTAAGTTATTAGACAAAGACAGTAGGTACAATAGATGCTTTGTAGTAGGTAAAGTTTTAACAGTTACCTAATCGGGCATTGCAATTGTAAAGTACACCATAAATGAAAATGGGAGATTACAATAAATTTAAATTTCATTTATTTGTATAAATTAAATATGATCTGTTTTAGGTAGTCAATAATTCAAATAGTTATGCTTATGCGAGTTAACATTGATAAATGTTAAATTCTAAAAAAATTGCGCCCTTTGCAGTTTGATATTCAACACCATGCAGATTTCTGAATATTATTAAGAGGAAAATATTAAGTTAACTAACGAACACTAACTCTGTAGGGATAAAGTTTCATTATTTAAATACATTATCGTACTTATAGTGTTCCGTGTTTTGGTATAGACGTAAAGATTAGTATTAGTTTGAAATTCTCATTTGTAAAACGTTTTAACCTTAATTGTAATTGTGTGTAGAGGTACACCCGGATATTTACAGTTGTGTTGAAAATTATAAAAGTGATGGTTAAAATTTGAAAACTAATTTATGAGACTGTTGTTAGGAGGCTAGCCTAAATTAATATTTTCAATATGGATAAACTTAAAAGTAGATTTCTATACTATAAAACAAAAACTACTCGAAATCAATAAACTACGAATGATTGTGGTTGACTGTAATACGAGCATTAGTGTTGATGTTAATACATATATATTCATTCGTTTTCTTGTCAAAATTTACATTTCATATAAATTTTAACTCTATCAAACGAGAACAGCAATATTTAGAATATTAGTTCCAGTGATTATATATGATTTTTGCAGCGAAGAAGCTGAATTAATAAAACTGACAAGCATGAGGCTAACTCACGTGTGCACCGAGGGCTCAGTAAGCAAACAACTTTGTATGTAAGTTCGTCTACGTATGTAGTTCGTCTAGGACAGGAAACAATTCTCGAAGATTAAACGAACTATATACAACTGCCCAAAAAATTCGTATACTTTTTTTAAAGTAAATGTATATCACATATAAAGATAATTTAAATCTTAATACAGTTACGAATATACGATAAATATTATACCAGTATTGAATAAATTAACAAATAAAATCCCAAACGTACCAAAAAATACCAAATTTCTGAACTTTTCGATGGTTTCGAATAATTTCAGTTGAGTTAAGAATATTAAATATTTTTGGGAATTCTAATGAGGAAACACAGATAAGTAATGGTTTAGGTTTATTGTCACTTGTTAATAAAATTACAATAAAATAATCCTTTTTTTAATTAAAAAGACTGTCGCTGAGCGATTACATCGTCCCATGAAATATGAGTATCCATGACTTAAAACTACATTATTGTATACTTAAGCCTAAATCAGTTTAATTAACAGTTTAATATATTTATCCTTTGAGGTCTTGATAAATATATAAATATATTATACAATACAAATAATATATAATACTATACAAACATGTATGTACATACATATTTTAATTTTTTATATTTACATACAAGTTTCTGAGACACCCTCGCATTCTAGTTAGTTTCACACTTGTCAGATTTTTATAAATTATTTGACGATACTTCGGGGCTTTTCGGCAAATAATTTATAAAAATCTTACGACTAAGGGCACGTAATAGACAATTGAACCACAGCACACCACTTGAGTAACGTGAGACCGGAAGTAACTTACAAATTTTAAATAATTTACCGTAATCTTTTTTACGCCTTGTTTTGTTTTTCTATCAATTTGTAATTTTAGCAACCTTATCTGCAAATTGTATATTCCATTTAAATGTGTAGGAAATGTGAGTCCATATGCACCCAAACCGTACTTGATGCTTGCATCAGCCAAGCCAAAATATATCGTAAACATTAATTTTCTGCTTATAACATACAATACATCATACAAGTTACAGAATTATGAACATTTTTGATTAATGAATCATCATCATCATCATCATCAGCCTATCGCAGTCCACTGCTGGACATAGGCCTCTCCCATTGCACGCCACTTAGATCGATTTTGGGCTTCTCGCATCCAGCTCCTGCCAGCCATCTTGCGCAAATCGTCACTCCACCTGGCCTGTGGGCGTCCTACACTACGTTTGCCGAGACGCGGTCTCCACTCAAGAACTCGTTTTCCCCAACGGTTATCGGTTCTTCTGATTAATGAATATCTGTGATAAATTTGGTAATTAAAAATTTACATATATCTACATATTTAATAAGGGGTTTGGGAGAGAGCTAAGTTTTTTTAAATATTTTTGTGGCTTGTGTCATAGTACTAGCTTACATACCAAATTTCAACTTTCTAGGACTTCAAAAATCTTAAAAACGAGTTAGTTAGTTATTTGAAAAAAGTAGTTAGGTAGTGTCCTTGCGCTTCGCTTGGCTCGTTTTGGCGGTGGCACTGCCGTGCCACCAGATGTTTTTTGAAGTTTCCAATATATGTCTGGTTTTAGTTTATAAAACGGACGGATATATAAACTGCACGGTTGGCGTAGTGGTTTAAGCGGTCGCCACGCCGCTTCCTACTACGCCGAGTGTTGTGGGTTCAAACCGCACATGGGACGACACTTTGTGTGATCCACAAATTGTTGTTCTGAGTCTGGGTGTTTTTTGTGTCCGTTTCATGTATATTTGTAAAGGCCCCCGCGACACAGCATATATTCCTTATGCGGGAGTTGTCTTTTTATAAAAAGAAAAAAAAGAAAAGAAAACAAACAGTATGAATTGATTGTCAGCCAATTTGCTTAAAATATTTTCGAAATCGATGAACTTAATAATCTCAGTAATTAATTTTAATTAGACTAGTGTTGGCCATTAATTTGTTTAATGGTTACCAGGAAAACAGTGATAAATCATGAGGCATGATAGCGTCCCCGTCAAGTCCACCAAAATTAAATTAGATAACTTACTTCATTTTAAATTAAACATATTATTGTTAGAGAGCTTTATTCTTTAATTATAGAATGTCTTGGCAAAGAGACGCGACAATACCGTCTACATACAAAAGATCTACCCAATCATACCGGTCTGAGTGCTTTATTTGTTTATGTGTGTGACACAGAAATAATTATAATTGAATATATGTATGTATGTAAAAAAAAAAAAGGTGCTGTGTATGTAAAATATGACTTACATCTGTGTTATTTAAACCCAAAGACCCAACAATCTCCTTCCTCACTTTACTATTGTATCGCATATAACTCTATATATATATATATATACATCGTCTATAGGAAGTATACAGGGATTATAAATGACAAATAACAATATAAATATTTCTTGAAATTACTTTTAAATATGCACAAATATATACATGCTTTAGGGTATTTAATAAAACAAACATGTTCTTTTTATAATGTTCACCACGACTTATACCTACTTTTAAAATAAACGACTGATAACTTAATATATATATTTAAAATCATAATTTGATTGGGTGTTATTGTGAGAAAACGTGTTTCGTAAACTGTAGTGGCTACTGCGTATCAATTTTGCCGTCTTAATTTTAATTATGTATTCCTTACTCGAGCGATGTCACTACGAAAATTTATTACAAAGTGCCGGACGCGTATAAAACTGTCTATCCTTATGCAAAATTTCATTGTTCATACTAACTTAGCATTAAGATGCTAGTCTTTTCGACTTTAAATATTTACCGCTGCACGCTTGTGAGCTTTTGTTGTTCCGCTTCTAATAAACTTAACGTCTCGTAAAACATCAACCTGTGTATAAAAATTGCCAATTATAATTTGTCATATACTTTTGCTCTTTTATTAATCTATATTTTATGTGTTCGTTCTAGACTACTTAGAGTATTTGCACTTAAATTCAAAAATTTTAACGTTGAACTGTAATGTTGTGGGTAAGATAACATTATGTTCCTACAGGAAGTGAATCATAATTATACATATTATTATCGTGTTAGTGGAATGTGTTATAAAATAATTGGAGTAGCATAACAACGTGTAGTGTTTAAGCAGTATTAGAAGTAATCGGGTGTATCGGTAACAAAATGGCAGGACTTAATACAGTGTATATTTTGATGTGTGTTGTAATAATTTTCACATTGATGGATTTTTGTGAACCGCAAAGTAAAGATGACCCGCATGCATGTCCGGTCAAAATAGCGTAAGAACTTTTTTCTTTTTGTTAATCTGGCTTTGAAAGTAGGCGAGTCTTTTATGATTGTGCTTAAAAAAAATTACATTTACACACATAATTATGAATAGTACACTTGTTTATATAACTAGTCTTTTTTTGTGTAGAAAAATGCTATCCTAGACAAAGATTTGGTAAAAATTAGGCAACGATTTCAGGCTAAATATTTTTGAAATATTTCTGATTCATTTTTGTAACGTTAATGTGTAAAAATATCTATTATTTAATTGAATCAACAGCCACCAATCAAAGTCTACTGTCTAAGTCTCTCTAACTATCAGTCTTCTCAGTAAGTTCTCGTTATGTGAAAACGTGATATTATATTTCTATGCTTTTCTTTTGGCTCCAAAGCTTCTCTATATGATCGGCTCTAATACATTGAGCACGATTTAGTATAGTAATAATTCGAATAATATGAGAATTTCATTACAGTGAACATTCATTCTAAACTATAGCTACATAATAGTACACGTCTGTCTCTAAAGATGATGAGATGAGATTTGAAAAACGTTTTTATTTAACTCTTTGTTTGTTTAAAATCTATAATAGAACTAGCAGCTGAATTAGAAGATAAAAGTTAGCATTGAATAAAGTATTAATTGAGGAAGGTAACATTACGGAACGCCTCTTTGTAGTGGAGAAGTGATAACAAACGAACATGAAACTGCGGGCAAACGCTACTTCATTATAACATTAGTTACTTTACATATATGTAGTAGTACGTCTTCTTATCACATCATCACACACATCACATCAATAGCCTTTAACCATCAGTGGACTACCACTGCTGGACATAGGCCTCTCCTTAGAAAGGAGGTTTTGGCCTACAGTCCCACGCTGGCCAGACGGGTTGGTATAGAGTTTCTTTCAAGTTTTCCTCTTTTGCAGTGCTGTTGTCCTGTGTAGTTTGCTCCCTTAGTCGGCTCTTACGACACCCACGGGATGAATGGGGGTGGTAACACTACGTATTCTCAAACTGACGGTTTCACGGTTGACGGTTCTCAAACATACGGCTTCTTCTAATATTTTAATATTTATTTTTTAATAAGTAAAAGTATATAGGAAGAAATACAAAAATGATGTATATAATAGGTCTTTACCTATGAAATTGCCGTTTTGTATGCAACAAGTGAAAGTACTTATTTTTTCAAACTTTTTTATTTCTGTTATTCGAAGTAATCACCCATGCAATCGACGCATCTTTGCCAACGCATTGGCAGTTTATTGATGCCCTTCTTGTAAAAATCAGCTGGACGGGAGGCAACAAACTCTTCAAAGGCATTTTGTACTGCCCTAAAGGTTGTTGAAAGGAGTGAATTTTGCTTTGTGCTTAAAATACGTAGATTCACTATCCATAAATACAGTAATTGTTGTCTAGTAAACGAGAGATAGTTTACGGAATACATTCGAAAACCATTACAGGAGACCTATTTATAACAAATATATCACATGTGGTTTGTCTTGTACTAATTTTAAATAAAAAGTGGCAGTGGTATCTTATACATTGCTTTAGTATTAAGCCCACGTAGTTAATACTTCGCTTTCTAATAAAATTAACTTATAATCCCCTCAACCGACATTGTACTCTAAGATATCACAAATTTACTTAACATAACTTCACACGCACCTATATGAACACATAAAAAATACATACATTTTTCTACAGCGGACCAATTCGAGACTTAAATCCTTCATTTATAGGTCATCATGAAAGGTAAGAAATATTCAACACTTAACTTGTTACATAACGAGTTTAAAGTTATATAATTCCTTTAAACCATAGCCATACGTACTGTGTCAAATAAGTCTACATAAAAACGATTGATGAAGATTGATTACCATAGCTTACAGACATTAAGTGGTTAGATCGTGCATTTTAAGTGGCATAGCAAAAAATAAGTAACTCAATGTCTTATCACTAAGTGTTGTTAGTTTATTAAATGCAATTGATTTTATATTTATTGTTTACTTTAACGTCCAGTCCCCATCTATTTAGTGGTTTTAATCACTAGGCATGGGCTATTTCTAGTTGTAGACAATAGAAAGAAGGTTAGGCCAGTTATAGGTTTAGCCGGGTAGGACTTGCCTAGGTGGAATGGTACTATCCTTTCTTCATACCGTGTATGTTACTTAAAAAGAAAACTGTATACCCTCTATAGAAGACATAGCTGCCGCTAAATAAAGAATCTTTTTTTTTCTCTTTTTTCTCCCTGCCTAAGGAAATTGAAATTCTATACCACAAACACAGTAGTTTGTTTCTAGAAAGTGTCTTAAGGCTATGGTATCATTTAATCGTGCAATACGCATAGTCTCGAATAGTAAAAATTAATTTCCTTAAAGGCTATTTAACGACATTATACTCACCTATTAAGGGAAGGTAGGCAAAAGTAGGCGAACCCTTTTGATCTTTAAAGTATATTATCAAAGTGTATAGGTAGACAAGTACTATTAAATTTTATAGATACTTCGACCCACCTATTTTTGGCTACGTTACTTTACGTTCTTTATGTATTATATACACATCATATAAACACGCTCGTTATTTGCAAACCTAAATGTAACAAAGAGTGTAATCATGGAACAAACGCATTACACAGGCAAAAAAAAATATTTTTAAATTTCATCTTATTAAGATGTTTTTTTTTTTTTTATTTTTTTTTTAATACTTCGCTCAACTGCATACATAACCCATAAACCTAGAAAATACAGTAGAAGCAAAATACTAGTACTTAGGCATACTATCTTATTACGGCAATTGATAGTGCGGTTTTGCTTGTACTATACCTTTCTCGAAGCCCTATAAGACGTACTGCACCTTTTGTAGCGTCATCCATATTTACGAGTTAAAAAAATTGCTTCTGTTTTTCTACATGTCATGACGTGAGAGTGTAACATATAAACAATGTCTATTGTAACTGTTGCATTTATAATATGAGTAAGGTTTGTCACTGATACATCTTATGTTTCTTTTTTTAGATCTCCACCAGGTAGAAAGAAGCGCAGAAATGGAAAACTACGTCTGCCGGTACGTCATAAATACTTACTTGTTTTAGCTACGATAAACAAGTAATAGAAAAATCTAAAATCTTTAGCAAATTTGAAAATCGTGCTTTATTTATACAAACAAAGAAACTTATGAACTGATTGGAATAAAACGCTACGCTAACAATGTTAACTAAATCTAACATGATCTTCTTCGAATTAAATACTAAAGTCTAAAAATTCTCAAGTACTATTTAAAGGTAACATTGATCTTTAAGCGTTAAATCGCCATCAGAATTCCGAGAGATAATGTGTTCTGGAAATCGTTGCTGCAATAAGTCGTTGTTTGTTGCGCGGTGTGGCAGGTGGCACCGTCCTGATGAAACCACATGTTGTTCAGATCCATACGTTAAGTTGAGGCCATAAGAACTTCATTTTCATATTCCTGTAACGAATGCCGTTCACAGTCACTGCAATTTTGGCCTGAGTCAAAAATGTATAGCCCAATCACGCTGCCTGACCAAAATCCGCACCAGACAGTTGCTCGTTGTGGGCGCATTTGTTTCTCATGGATTGTATGTTTTTTTCCATTTTTTATAATCGGAATAAATATAGGTAACAGCTGTAAAATTTAAGAGATGCCACTTGCACGACAAAAAACGATTCTAAATTTAAAAATTGCACTCATACTGAGACAACCTTTATTAGCTTCTTAAATTAGATAAGAATGATTTATTTTGAGATAGACTATTTATATTTATACAAACATACAACAAAGGGTTCGCTTTATTCTTAATTAGAAGAATAGCGTATCTCAAATTGAATCGTTTTAAGTGCAAGACGTTAATAAGAAAACATGTAAAGCATGTTACCTTTAATATTTCAGAAACCAACATCACCACAACCAATATTATATGCCTGCTGCAAGGACTATAGCTTCGACGATAAATCTAAAAAGTGCGTGCCAAATTGTGACTTGGAATGCATCCACGGCACATGTGTGTCGCCAAATAATTGTGAATGTAAATCTGGCTACAAATTTACTACTAATAGTACTCATATTTGCGAACCTAAATGTAACAAAGAGTGTAATCATGGAACATGTTCAGCACTTAATCAATGTGCATGTGATCCTGGGTACAAACAAGATCCAAAAGACATATATAACTGCATACCGGTCTGCAGTCTTGGTTGTATTAACGGTACCTGTATTTTGCCAAATAAATGTGAATGTTCTGTGGGTTATAAGTTCACTGCAAACAGTGAAAATGTCTGTGAACCTAAATGTGACAAAGAGTGCCAAAATGGAAAATGTTCAGGACCAAACAGATGTACGTGTTACTATGGCTATGAAAAAGATTCCGAAGACGAATTTAAATGTAAACCATTATGTTCTCCCGAATGTGTACACAGTAAGTGCACTGCGCCTAACAATTGCACATGCGATAATGGATACCAAAAGCTAAAAATGAACGAAAGTATGTGTTACAAACCTTGCGAAACGCCATGCCATAACGGTTTTTGCAGTTTGGATGGACAATGTACTTGTTTTGAAGGTTATAAATTTGTTCTGGACACTTGTATTCCATCGTAAGTAAACATATATTTCTCTAGTAGAATCTTTAAACCTTAAGATTAGGATTTCAGTCAAAATTGTTAAGATTTAAACGCTAACGGAACATAAATGTTAAGAATGTTAAGATAATTTCAGTATCAATAAAATTTTAACTCTTAATTTGAAAGGATACGTATAACAAGATTTGCTGAAAAGAGAAAGGATACATAGCAGTTTAGGTTACATCAATTTTATTGACGTTAACAAGAATAGAAATTATATAAATAATATATAATTTATATATATAAGACCTCAAGTTATATTAAATCTACGTTTTAATTTTAATTTTAGACAATTGAGAGAGTTATGGAAAAGATCCATATCTGTGAAGTCTCTGTTATACTTGTTAGTGGAACGGTATAAGAATGAGTATAAGTTTTATGAAATCTTGGAGGTACAAAAAGTGGCTTAATTTTATTTCATAAAGTAGCTTATAGGAATCACTTGTATGACCAACAACTTGGGAAGTATTTATTCTTACTAGAGATGTCTGGCAGACAAATTTCAGCAATTTTGATTGCTTTTTTTATTACATCTATCAATATAACTTGAACTATCGTTATATAAACTTTTGTAGCATGACAGTTCAAATATATAGTTTTATGTAGCCGTTTTTATATAGTGTTTTGTTTTTACCTACTTAATACCACATGCTGTTTAAAAGTTTTATTTTTCTGAACTTCTTCTGCGTATAAACTTCAAGTATTTCAACCATTACGTTTTAAAATAATTAAGATAACATATAAGAAAACCTTTAAAAATAGGTACAGGCAGTCCATAGAAATTAGAAGCATTCTAGAAACAAAAAATCTTTCGCATATGCTTTGCGATTTAAAATATAATTAAAGTAATATGAGTAAAGTAGAAACTCCTACTCTTAAATCTATATTGTCTGTCGACTAAAACGTCATCGAGAGTCGAAACGAACTTGTGTCTAAAGTTAACGCTTCCTTAGCGAAGGTTTCAGCTTTGGGTCGACTGAATCTGGTCTATTTTAACCCAAAAAAGACACAGAATTGCCCGTTCACCGCAAAAAAGATACCGTTTGTCGTATCGCCTCCGTTTGAGAGCACCTCCCTAACTGCCTCAGCCAGTACTACAATCCTAGGCATCGAGATATCGAGCAAAGTCCAGTATCGCGGTCATTTAGAGGGTAAGGTCAAATTGGCCTCAAAGAAGCTCGGTGTGCTGTACAGATCAAGGCAGTATTTAACTTCGGCTATTCAACGGCTTTCGGCTTCTACCTCCAATTCTATAAGACGCAAGTCCGACCGCATATGGAATACTATTCTCATCTCTATGCAGGGGCACCACAGTACCAGCTTCTCCCTCTGGACCGTATCCAAAGAAGAGCGACTCGAATCGTCGATAGGCTCGATCACTTTGCGTTACGTAGGGATGTAGCTTTGCTCTGCATTCTCTATCGTATATATCATGGTGAGTGCTCCGAGGAATTGTTCGGACTAATACCGGCCGCAACCTGCTATCTTTCCACACGGCAAAATTTTCATCTCCACCACATGGATAATTGGCGCTCCACCACTCCTGAGTTGCGGGCGGTAGTCGCTTTCCATCAGGTGACCCGTCTGCTCGTTTGCCCCAATAAAAAAAAAGTTCATGGATTTTTATACTATCATGTTCCGAAAAAATGATTTCAATATAGTATCACGATGCAGACAACTGACCAATCAGTTTTATGTTAAAATTTACTATCCCACGCGGACGAAGTCGCGGGCACAGCTAGTTGTCTAAATATGTTCTTAAATGAAAAATCTTATAATTATATTATTTATTAATTTTTTAATTTAAAGAGAGGCCTATGTCCAGATGTGGACTATTAAAGGCTGTTGATGTGATGATGATGCGAGATTAAATTTGTTATAGTTATATTTAAAAAAAATGTAAATCGAATTATCTACTAATGATGATTTACAATTGATGTTACAGTCTTAACTGCAGTGAGTGTCACGGTAATTGCACTGAAGAGAATGGTGATCAGCAGAACTGTCGATGTCCTGATGGAAAACCTTGTCAAGCCAATAAAAATAACCCGATAGAAATACCTGAGGAAACAGCCACAGTCAAGTAAATGTTTATAAACGTTCACCTTTGATACCCACATGTTCACCCATAATAGACTTATAAGATTCAAACACATATTTATGACACGCCGGTATTTTAATCTAAAATAAATCCTTTTTTTAAATAAGTTTAACCGACTTCAAACAATACTAACAAAGAACAATAAAAACCTACCAGTAACCGCGGTTGATTTGCTGAGAGTTCTTTGAAGAGTTCCGTTATCCGTCTCTGAAACTCATCATCAGATCTATATGAAATTTAAATGAGATCATTTCGGAATAAACCCCTTTCGAACAAAAAAAGAATTTTGCAAATCTGTCTATATATGATGGAGTTATGCTCGAAGATACAAAAAAATATATATATAAACATTCTAATTGATAACCTCCTATTTGAAGTTTGTTAAAAAATATAATTTGTTTGAATTTTAACTCCACGTGAATACACCATTACCCTGCAGTTGCAGTGGTGACTCCCTGCATTATTAACACGAACGAACTATGCAGGGTCTAAGGGACGTCGCAACGAATACTGAAATTGTGTATTCAGACCATCATACTGTTTCAAAAATCATTCATTGTTCTTCTAATTGTAGCTGTAATATCTATTTCAGTGTCGACTGTGGTGATTGCAATGGTAGTTGCGAGCCAGAGAATGGTATACAACAGAGCTGTCGGTGTCTTGACGGCAATCCATGTAAAAATAATCCTATAGAAATACCTGAGGAAATTACTACAGCCGAGTAAGTTTTGTTGCCGAAACTTTTTTTAATCCAACCCACACTGCCTAGTAATGTTCATGTTGACTTAAGTAATGTCACGTTTACGTTACAAAAAATACTAGGATATAAAGAAATAATTACTCATTCTATATATTTATGAAATAAAAACATAAATTATTGTTTATCATAATGGTGTTAAAAACTTTAATAAAAATGAACGATAGAGGTATTTTCGAAAGGGTGAAATATTTCTAGCCCAACCTTTTTATATATATTGATGCACCGTAAACTTTTTGAAGCAGAGAATTTTGGCTCTTATTCTATATATTTAGTCACGAATGTCTTTTGAAAGAAAATTACTATTTTTTTCAGGCAAGCTGGTATAAATCCAATTGTCTTGGTTTTCGCCGCAATTGCGCTTGTGTTGATCGTTCTTATAATAGCCGTAATACAACGCATCTGGCACAAAAGTAATAATTATGACAGTAAAGGAAGTCCAAGCAATGGTAAGTCTAGTATTTCATTTGAAAGACCAAAGTTTATTAAATATAATCAACAAATTTAATTATATTTAACATCTTCACCTTTTTCTTGTGGGGGTTCCATTAGGTCATCACAAGTTTAAGTCGGAATGGATTAAAACACGGTGTTCCGTGTAACCCATCTGCTCGTCTGCCACTCTTACATAAAAATAAGTGTGTGAGTCTATTGCGAGGGAACTCACCGAGGAGTTCCTAAGGTATAACCCATGGATTGGAACTCCCTGGGTTAGTCCGGGCATCAGATAGCGTGCGGTATCCCCATATGACTCTTCCGGCCCGTCAATCTAGTCTTTGTGCCCAAATAGAGGCTCTATATAGGGCCATAAACCACATGGTACTCTCGTAGTATCCTACAAGTGTCGGGCCCCCTAAGTTGCGCGAACGAGCAGCCACTGTCCTGATAAGCTTGGGAGCAAAAACATCTTTATAACATGGATTTTACAGCCTCTTGGTGCAGCGATTTTACTGAAATGGTAGTTTTAAATCCAACAAATACTTACAACATTATACGAGTACTCTCACAATAATACATTTAGTTTCATATAAATAAAAACAGGTGAAAGTCAATAAAATACATACGAAAGCAAGAAATATGGTGTAAATATTAACTTTAATTGTTTAATTTGTTAAATCTTCTTCACAATTTTATTGGTTACCGTATTCCGAATCGCTACAGAGTACAGGGGCACAGCACGATGCGCTCAGATCACATATAACTTAAAAAAGTTGGGAAGGATCAAAATCACAACACAATTGTATTTCAGCATAAAATAATCGATTGCTTAATTGTATTTTACAGAAGCAGCAATTGGCAGTGTTGTCTATCATACATTTCCAGCCACATTGATACAACCAAAGGGCCACGAAGATACGAACCCAAATGACGATCCCGAAATCGATAATTTGACTCAGGAAGAAGCGGCAATAGATACTTTACTTCGACGTTCTGCAGAAGAAAACATATCTTAAATAGTATATACATCACTTAGTTTTAAAGTACATGTAACAATACGGGAGAGATAGAGGTAGAGGTAGAGGATGGACATGATGTCTAATTAAATTTTGAGAAAAACAAAAGCTAACTAAGGTTTTGAGACATGGGATGATGCAGTCTGAACAGTTGCTTTCTGAAGAACAGTTTCTGAGAAAGTAGTTTTAAAGTATATCGCTAAAGCAAGAATCAATCCAGGTCCTTTATCCCTCTGGTTAAATTTGGAGTGGTGTTTCTCAAACCATTGATGTGATTTTGGGAAGCGATATTGACATGAATCAAAAATTCGCTAGTATTTTCATGATCACTTTTCTTTTAAATAAATGTGACAATTTTGAATAACTGTACTTTTGTATATATACTCATCTGTCTTCGGTTACAGTTCAAAGAATTCTGACCAAATCTTATATTAGTTTTTATTTATTTTTTTGCTATCGAAGAAAGATAGCCTCCTTCGGTACTAAGTACGAAGAGAGAAAATGTCAGTTCATCAGTTCAAAATGTTATAAGCCTAGTATAAAACTTAACTACTGGAGGTAGAACAATACATTAAATTTAGTAGAAATGTACAATGAACTTTACGAGGTGTTAAAACACGGAATTTACATCAAACATCACATTAAATTATTCAGGCAATTACTAAAAAAAAAAGTATAATATTCCATAATGACATTAACCACTTTTATATAGTTATTATATTGATCATATTCTTAGATATCACAGGACCAAAAAACTAGCTTCCTTCGGGATGTGGCAGTCTGGCGCAAAGCGTAGTTAGTATCGTGTTGTACCTATATGTAAAAATAATAATTTATGGGTTGCTAAGTTAATTGAGAAGTAACTGTACAGATTTATTTAAAATATTTAGGTATGTATAAGAGTAAGTTGAGAGTAATTGGAACTGAGTTTTAAAATAATAAAAGGTTTTAAGGAAGTACTGGGATTTGAGTCGAATTAGTAAATTTTACTTCTAGATCGTATTGTAGCCCTGATGATCCATTTCATTGTTAACATATTTGTATAATCACAAAAATGTTTTTGTTCATCAATCATTTAGATTGAAGAGTTCCACTAATATGCTAGCATTCTATTATTTAACTAAAGATCATACCTACACGATTTTTGTAATATTTTTTAAAACCAAACAACAACAAAAAAAAGATTTTGTTATTTGTCGAGTAAGCTAAATTCTTAATTTAAACAATATTTTTATTGAAGCGAAAAACAGTGGAGCACGTAGGAGACGTTTATAAGACGTTTAGAAATACATTTCTCGCATCTACTCGGCTTCGATAGCATAACTATATGGAGTAATTTAAAAAGATGCTAAATATTGCAGTAAGTGGCACAAGTATGTTGCCATCATATATAACGTACACTTACGGCATCTTCTTCTTCATTCTTCGTTTCGACCAGACCTTCGGTGATCTCGACTCCTTTTTATATTGACGTGACGTATTGATAAGTGTTACTCATTTGATTATATAAATAACGAAATCAATCAAAATTAATATATTGCTTCATAGGAAAACAAATAATTAAAGAAAATTTAAATGTGATACCATGGTCTTTTCTAGGCAGTAATTAGGTACTGGCTACTCAAATATATGTATGTTGTCATTAAGTTGCGTGTCCACTACTTTAAAGTAAGTAACAGTTCAAAAGTAAATAAATCTTACAATTTAGTAGCGTTCAGGTATTAGGCCAATAATGTACTTTATTTTATTGAATGAGTTGTTGTGATATGACTTCTTACAAAACCTATTTAAATTAAATGTTATTAAATTAGAAAAAATATTTGTTTGTTTTTAGTATTTGCTTACATGTATCTACTTTTTATATTACGACTTTACTACAAAGAGCTGCAGCTATGCCTATTACAGTGAATACTCATATCCTCAGATACATATATTTAAACATGATATTACAATAAATAATATTCTGAGAGATATTCTAACTAAAGGAAGGTCAAGTCGGAAACATGCGTAAAAGAGTTACCCTGATGATAGAAGCAAGGGGTAAGCTTTCTGCCTACCTCAAAGAACGTGAGCGTTACATGTTAATGACGTTAATTGAGGGACTGACATTTTTGGGAATATGCACGGCCACATATTATTTATAATAGTCGGGATTAATTATTAGGAATAGTTTGTGCTGTTTGATACTCAATGCATTTTCGATATAATGAAATAGTCGACAGCGTCAAATTTTGGGTTTATATTATGAAATTATCAACTAGAAACTCGTCTGTACTTACATACAACTGGTACTATTATTATTTTGAAATAAAAGCTATGTATTAAAGTTAGTACATTCTTTGAGAATGTTTTTATTAAAGCAAAATAACTTGAAAGTCGAAGCTGTTATGTAGAAATTGTATGTTATAAAAAAAGGTAGGTATGATTTAAAAAAAAAGCTTATGAAGTTGGATATTTTTAAAACCATTATTTTCAGATTAATTTATCTGTGTAATATCAGATTTCATGTGTGTGAAATTCGAAAAGCAAATAAGTTTTATTCGACAGCCATGTTATTTTAATTTATAATTTAGTCATTTGTGTTATTTGTTCTACACAATGTTTGTACACAACGTAATGATTACGTACGACAGGGTTACATTCCTGTCAATTTGTTGCTGTCTAAGTCCTCAATCCATAATCCTTTCATCCACATTACTGCGTGGTCTACAGTACTGCCTTGCATTTTGTGGTCAGTTAAAGCTCATGACAAGATTAAGGGCAATATTCTTCTTTCAACCTTCTGATATTTTGAACTTTGCTGGAAACAGTATGGCTTTAGGATTTTGAATCGCAGTGCCGTTATAACTAAACGTTCATGTTGGTCTTCGCCGAAACTGGCCTCATACTTGGCTGGTGTTCTAACGCCACACAGTCTTCGACATGATACGAAATCTTGACTTGGTCGTGCCGTTCTTGCTTGAATCCTGGTTCGAAGTTGTTCAAGTTCTTTATTTTAATAAGATTATGCCTTTAATCGAAACATTGATTTTAGTTTTATTCTATAGACCACTAGCTATTGATCGTGGATCCGCCCGTGTGTATGTGGATTGTCGCGGTAAAAAGTAGACTTTTTAATTCCTAAGAAATTAAAGTAACTTCGTGCCAAATGGTCAAATGAAAAGTACCTATGTTTTTTTTAAATTATCTTTATTTTTATATTCAAACAAGAACACAGAAACATAAAACGTAAGAAAAAAAGTGGAAAAAGTTGTTTTCATAAAATTTCAGGGGTGTACTCAATTGAGTACAGTGACCGTCTAAGTATGAAAAATTTCGAAACAGGCTTTTTCGATGCAAAGTGTTTTTAGGCACTTTTTACATTGCCAGCGTACTCTTGAATGGCAAAGGATACATAGCAGCTGTTTTTTAATTTTGGCGGGGTAATGTCCAACTCCATCTTCAGGCAGCCCTTCGACTAGTGATGCAGCTGGGCGCGATATCCTCGGTTTACATTGGTGTGAATGATATCGTGCGATATGACGTCGGAACATGAATTGATCCATTGGATTATCATAACATATAGGTAAATAACACCCACTACCACTTTTTACCATGAACAGCTATTCTATATAATGAGACAGACTGGTCGAGTTTATCCACTCCTCCCATTTTTTTTTTATTGTAAGTTTGAAATAAACGTTATCGCTACATCTGTCTTCTGGTTTCCCACGTATGAATTTTTGGCGGAACGATGGCCGTAGTATTATTATTATTTAGTATTTCATCATAGATTCGTCGACAGAGATACAATCATGAAATACTCTCCACTTTAAAAAAATCTGCATAAGTTTGTCTGCCAATGGTCTTATTTTGAACATTTTATCATTCGACGTTGCTGCTAAGTCATCGCCTACAAGATGAGGGTTTATTTTTAGATCTCGAAACCTATGCCTCGACATGGCTCTGCTGACCAATTCTACGCCTATATCTTCATCTAGAGACCAGTACATTCGTTCTCGAGGTAGCTTATGGTACCCAGATAGTATCAAAACTCCTAAAAACTTTTTAAAATTAGGTCAATGCAATTGAAAATCATGTCGATTGTGTTGATAATCATATCAACAGTATCAGCATCAAGCAATTTTTCAAATATTTGTACAGGGTTGAGGCCCTTCAGTTCATCACAAATAAAAATTTTCCTATTACTGACTTCGGAAGTACTCTGAGAAGCTGCTGAGTATGAAGGGATACATTTCCGCCAGTTTGGGTTCGGAGTAGATAGATCTTGTCGTCTTTTTTTTTGCCAGAAGGAGTTCATCATCACTCTCGTCGTACACAATATCTTCGTCACCACTACCCTCTCGATTCATAAATACTTCAATAGTACCAGGTACATCTGGCGGTATCAAACACGCCGCCATATCTTCATCAGCATCTTTCTCTTCATCAGTCAATGCACTTGGATCATGAGGTATGATAGCCAAGTAACATTCATTATCATCGCTCTCCTGTAAATCGGCTTCAATAGCTTCTTGAAGTCTCTTGTTGCTCGTTTGGGATGTATATGTTTCTTTCTCCATTCTGAAATAAAAACCCTGTCATTTCACTAACGTATGTGGTCACTGTACTCAATCGAGTACAGTAACATTATATGACTGTAGTTTTATTTTAGTGATGAATCATTGATTGTATTGTTTATTATAACTTACTCTGACATTTATTTTATACCAATGAAATAAAATAAAAAAACTTATAAACAGAAATAACTTTATAAAATCTCATATCATTTACTTATCTCCACAGTGTTTCGGTGACACTACTTCAACTGACACTTTTTGGCTAAAATAATCACACTACCCGCGAAATAATTTTCAATATGGCTGAACAGTATTATAATTAAATAAAATAACATAGTAGGCCCCTTTAATTTTACAAGTGATTGAATTGAAATTCAAAAATATGGCTGTACTCAATTGAGTACAGTGACTTCTAATGGGCTAAAATCGATTCAGTGGTTTAGCCGTGAAGCGTAACAGATAGACAAACAGACAGCGTAACTTTCATAATATTTATAATATTAGTAGGAATTAGTAAGAATGTAAACTCTACAAGTATGATCCATAATGCATTTTGTTGTACTTGTAAACCTCTCGTTCATTTGATACCCATTAAAGATATTAAGAGAAGTGAAACAACGGGCACCACGCTATTATGGTGGTAAGACTCGTTATGGAGGATTGGCTCGAGAGGCATCAAAGGACCCCCTGATATCGGCTGACGGAGGGGATCACCGGGAAAGGATACGCTGGCAGAATGCCCGGCGTGTGATGAGCAGAGGCATGACCTCGTGGTGGCCATCTGAGTGAGAGCGCGTGGAACTCCGCCGTCTCCTTCTGTGAGCAAGTTACGCTTGCGAAGGTGACGGCGGCGCCCGACCGCGAGAGATTTAGAACACGAGTTCTAAATCTCTCACGGTTGAGTAGATTAGAGATTTAGATGTAGATCGACTCGGGCGCCAGAAGTCGCAGAATGACCTCCGTCCTTCATACGCGAAGACCTGGGGGTGACAGGTGAGGCCATCTGTCACCCTAGCAGAAGCAGGCTGCGTTCTGTTATGCGGGACCTTGCAGTTAGCTTTTTAAAAAAAAAGTATTTAAAACACTGAAGGTTATTTATTTGAATTAAATAAAGGAAATAGAAATATTTAGGAATTAGAATAATGAATCCGACCCGAACCGAGTTCGATTGTAGACTGACGCTCCGATGCGCTCAGGGTTTATATCGGTTTTATCAATGCTGGCTCAGCAAGACCAGGGTCTGTTAGTCAGCCCTAATGCCTACATCGACGGGGTGTAACAACCCCCCGCGGAAAACTGAAGTTCGAGGAAAAATCGAAGTTCAGGAATAGTTAGGCGACTTCCCTCAGTCGCGGCAATGGTAGGGGTGAATCCCTACTTTGGAAATTGTCATCGTTATCGGTAGAGGTCGGATTTGAATTTGAATTGTTAAATCTATTCTTATATTTATAAACAATTTTACTTAATTTAAACAATACATAAGAAAATACAATACAAGAAATAATTGATGTGAAAACAGTGTGACGAGTCTCGTAACTCGAAAATACAGGGTTTTTATTTATAATATTCTTGAGGTCGGGAAACAAGTTATCATAATGAGTTTTTACAGTTAGATCATCCAAATCTATGTTATTTAACTTAACAGGAATAACATTATTTAATAAACTACCATTTAATACACAACATGAGTCATTAATAATGTTAAAATCTAAATTAGGACTAGGGACACTTATATTAATAGAGTTAATAGGGGAAATAAGTCTTGCGCTTTTTGTATACACTGTGCACTGATTGGGGGTTTGAAGGATTCCGGTGCCGACCACTATTATCTCTTTTAGTTCAGTGACACCACACTCTATAGAGATTTTGTTTGGACACGATTGCACAAAAATCCATCGATTATTAGTGACTGGTTTCCAGATGTCGAGTTCACCAGATATTGTCTTCGTGTTACACTGCACAGGAATGCCACTGAGTGTTTTAGTTAACAGTTCGCTTTCACATGTAGGGTGACTATTCGTCGACAACACCGTAGATATTTCACAGAGATAGAACTCAAAGCTCACAACTTTACATTTACTTAAATCACTTAAATTACAGAAACTTAACTTATCCTTAGACATAGCAATAAAAGGATTTGAGGGAGATATAAGACTATAAGTGTTAGGACTGTCTCCTCCGTGAGGAGTAGGTAGAGGTATACTGTGATACAAGTTAAAATCGTCATTAGTAACTAAAGGAATTTGTAACACAAAAACTAACTTATTATTATAATAAAGACAAGCAACCTTGGATATACTTAATATTAAGTGTATATTATCTAAGTTTAGAGGAATAGGTATTTCAGTGTTCCCAGGTAGGTGTCTATCGTTATCGACGAGCTCTTTGTGCAGTTGCGCTGGGGTTAAAATATTTGGGTGCAGTATATTTTGGCTAGTTAAAATTATGGCGTTGATCAAATCTTCTAATTGGAAGGATAATATTAATAGGGAACTCTCGAGGTTGGCTAATACGGAATGGACTTTATTTTGGGTTAGTAGGGTGTTAGTTATTTCGGTAAGATTATGTTCGTTTATCAGGATTTTATTTATAGAGTCGCTGAGAATATCTTCATTATTTTTTATGGTAGTCATTGTCTGTTTAAAGGATTCTAGTGTGGAAGTAGTAATTAAGATATTTTCTTTCATGAGTTCTGCGATTTTCTTCTGATCTTGTTGGACTATCTCTATGGCGGAGTCATATTTTAAGGCGTCATCTTCATCAAGGGTCCCGAAAACGTGTTTAAACACGGTCCCTATACCACCAAACCATGCTGACCGTTTGTTTCGTTTTGAAATTAAGTGAGAGATAGAGTCATATTCACGTTTTATGTCTTGGAAACGCACTGTGAGTGGGGATAGGGTGTTCTTACATTCTGGGTCATTAGTTTTATGACACATTAATCTAACAGATGTTATAATTTCATTTAAGTTGGTTAAATGCGGACTTATATAAGAGATATCTACGTAACTAACTATATTTAATTCGCCTCTGGTGATTTTAAGTTTGCCTATGGTGTCGAAGAAGATGCCAGAGTTAGAAGGGTATGGCTTGACAAAGTCTGGATGTGCATAAGTTGAAGCGCTGAAAAGAAAATGAAATAAATGAATATTTCTTTTGAATTTAAGTAGTAGTAGTAGAAGTAGAAGGTTGTGAGATTTCTGTAGGTTTGATTTCGTCAAAATGGTGTCTTATGTGTCTTCTGTTAATCAGGAGTGTGACAGTGTTGTTGTTGTGAACCTTTATTATTTTGTATGGTCCTTTCCATATGGGAGACAGAGCTTTTCTGAGTCTTAAATGATTTCTAAGGTAAACGAAATCACCGGCTTTGTATTGAGGCGGTCTTCTGGTTCGGGAATCGAAGTAAGTTTTCGATGTTTGTTTGGATTTTAGAATATTTTCGTGAGCTTTTTCCCTAGTGTATTTGAATTTGTGGCTTAGCATTCGGATATAGTCTGAGTAAGTTGTACCGGCGCTACTTTCGTATACAGAACTGGGTATAAAGGGTTTGTGTCCGAAAACTAACTCATATGGACTGAATTTAGTAGTAGAATGTATCGTTGTGTTATATGTGAGTATAGCAGTGTAAACGTATGTGGGCCAGTTATCTTGATTTTGGTTTACGAAGGATTTCAAATATTCTTTCAGTGTAGAATGACTGCGCTCCAGAGCGCCTTGTGTTTGAGGGTGGTAAGGGGACGCCCATAGCTGTTTGATTTTCAGAAATCGACAAGTGGTTTTGAAGAGATCTGAAGTGAAGTTAGTGCCTTGGTCAGTGAGGATTGATTTGGGGATTCCGAAAAGGGAGATAAAATGAATTAGGCAATCTGCTGATTCTTCTGCTGTCGTACTACGAAGAGGATAGGCTATAGAATATTTAGTGAGATCATCCTGCAGGGTCATAATGTATTTAAGTTTTCCGGAGCCGGATTCGGGTAAAGGTCCTACTAAATCTAATGCGACTCTCTGGAATGGAGCAGTTGCAGTAGTGGTAATTTCCATGGGAGCTCTATTGAGTTTCCTTAATGCTTTGTTTTCTTGACACATTTTGCATTTCTTAACATAGTCTTCTATGTCTCCTCTCATTCCTTTCCAGTAATATTGTTCTTTTATCCTACTGTACATACGTGTTGAACCTAAATGACCGGCTACAGGGATATCGTGATTTTCCCGTAAAATTTTGGATCTTTCGCTAAGAGTTGGGTAGATTGTTTTATTTAGATAAATGTGTATACAGATTTTAGTATTGTGGAATACGTAGGTGAGAATATTGTAAATTTTAGTGTATGAATGTTGATCGAAAGGGTTTTTTAAATCCGAAACTGCAATATCTGATACAGGTCCGTTTTGTAAAATAAGATCTCTTACTCGTTTCAGGCTATCGTATATATCAGGGTAAGACGATTCGTCGAAATGGTGTACCTTGGTAAACATTAAATAAATTTCCTTGTCTGCGAATTTAGTGTTGAGAAATGAATTCTGTTCCTTTTCCGCGTTAAGGATTTCATCTCTATTTGGGTTGTCGTTTAGAATTTCAGAGACGTAGGGATTGGATTCGTCCAGATCAATGGAAGTAGGAATTAGAATTATTTTATGGGGGAATTTTAATAGATTCTCGTTGTGTTCTTTTAGGACAGTGTCAAAAACGCTCTCTTTGTTACTAATCGTTTTTAGGAATTTGGAATAGTCGTCATTATTCAGGTTCATGCTAGGTCGTTGAATGAGGTCTGTCGGTGAAGGGATATTGAGACCTTCGAGATCTAGGTCGAGATCTGCACTTCGAGGGCTTAAGTCTAGAGGGCCTAAGTCTATGAGTTCTGGTTCTACTTCTGGGGTTAACGGGAAGTCTGGAACAGTACTGGGGCCAGGAATTGGGTTTTGATAAGGGTTTACCGCAGTAACTGAAGTAGGGTTACGACTGACATTTTCATTTAATAAGTTTTCATCATCGAAAGTAGTAGGAA